GGGAAGGGAAGGGAAGGGAAGGGAAGGGAAGGGAAGGGAAGGGAAGGGAAGGGAAGGGAAGGGGGGAGGGAATCCCATGTCATTCGATCCTAACCCTACCCCAACTGCAATACAATGGAACATAGCACAAGGCAATGCAATCACCCTAACCCTAAAAACCCAAACTCTGACCCTCTCTCCAGCAATGTTGGCATACAGTGGTGGTGGCACCTATCTGGGGACAACGCCAAGTCCCTGATGGATGCCAAACCCGAGCTGGGGGGACCTGATGAGGACCAGGGGGAGCCTGGGATGGGGACAGGGCTACACTCACTCCTGGCAGTGGCTGTCATGGCTGAAAATGCATTTCTGGAGGGTGTCAAGGGTGAGGAGGCTGAGGTCCTCCAGCATGTTCCGTCCCACCGGTCCCCCCGCTGCCTTCGCTGCAGCCCTCCACTTGGTCTGTGGGGCAGGGGATGTCAGGGGATGGGGTGCAAGGGGGGGTGGGGGTCAGTGATTGGGGTCAGGGTGGGGGTCAGGGTGGGGAATTGGGGTCTGAGTGAGGAACCAAGATCTGGGTGAGGGGCTAGGCATGGATGTGGGGTAGGAACCAAGGTCTGGGTGAGGATCTGGGTGAGGAACTGGGATCTGGATGGGGGTCTGAGTGAGGAACCTGAATCCAGGTGAGGAATGAGGATCTGAAACTAGAAAAAGCTGGAAACATCTTGAAACTAGAGGATCACTGTGGTCCTTTTCAACCCAGACCATTCTATGGTTCTATCTGGGTCAGGAACTGGGACCTGGGTGTGGGATAGGGTCAGGAACCGATGGCTGGGTGAAGATTTGGTTCAGGGACCAGAATGTGGGTGAGGAATTGGGATCTGGGTGCAGGATGGAGTCAGGAATGAGGGTCTGGGTGAGGAACTGGGGAATGAGTGTGGATTTGGGTCAGGAATCTGAGTCTGGGTGAGGAACTGGGGAATGAGTGTGGGATGTCTAGGTCAGGAAGCAGGACCTGGGTCAGGAATTTGGGTGAAGAATCAGGGTCTGGATGGGGATTTGGGGCAGGAACCCGGATCTGGATGCAGGATAGGACCATGAACAAGGACTGGGTTGGTTTCAGGTTCTGGGTCAGGATTTGGGTGAGGAGCCAGGGCCTGGGTGCAGGTCTGTGTCAGGGGTGGGAATCTAGGTGCAGGATGGGATTGGGGGTCAGGATCTGGGCGAAGAACAAGGATCTGTGTGGGGGTTTGGGTCAGGAACCAACACCTGGTTGAAGATCTGGGTGAAGAACCAGAATCTGGGTGAGGAATCAGGATCTGAGTGCAGGATGGGGTCGGGAACTGGGATCTGGGTGAAGATCCAGGTGAGGAACTGGGATCTGGGTGTGGGATGGGATCAGGAACCAATGATTTGGGTCAGGGACCAGAATGTGGGTGAGGAACTGGGATGTGGGTGCAGGATGGGGTCAGGAACTGGGTGAAGATCTGGGTGAGGAACCAGGATCTGTGTGCAGGATGGGATCAGGAATCAGGGTCTGGCTCACGTGCATGATGTCGGTGCTGCTGTTGAAGATGCTGACGTAGGATTTGAGGATGTCAAAGTGGAAGGCAGGTGTCAGCAGGCGCCGGTGCCGGGCCCACTTGTCCCCACGGCTCAGCAGCAGCCCATCCCCTGTGTGGAACCACTCAGCTCCATTCATGGGGCACCCATGGGTGCTGCCTCCCCATCCCCAGGCACCCACTCACCCAACCAGGGCTTGAGGAACCCGTAGAAGAATTTGTCCTTGGGGGCAATGAAAGCTGCAAGAGAGAGCCATGGGGCACAGTTATATTCTGGGATCTGGGGACCTTTGGGGACAACTTGGTGGCCACCATAGGATGCGTGTTTGGGCACGGGTGGCACCTCCAGGTGGTGGCCCTGGAGACAGTTGGGGTTGGGTTGGTGGCCACCATGGCATGGGCACTGCCAGGTCACCACGCAAGGGTGACACTTTTTGGTGGCCCTGAGGACAGCTTGGTGGCCACCATAAGACGTGTGTTTGGGCACAGGTGGCACCTCCAGGTGGTGGCCCTGGAGCTGTTGGGTTGGTGGCTACTGGGGACCACCAGGTCACCACATCACCCAAAAATGACACTCTGGGGTGGCCATGGGGATCCATAGGTCGATGCCCCCCACGTCCCCCCCATGCCCACATCTTGGGTTACCTGAGGCCATCAGCACAGGGCGCAGGGTGTCGGGGTGGAAGAGGCGGAGGACTGGCAGCCATGGGGACACCCACCAGAGGCAGCCATGGCGGTACTGTGCCACCATCTTATCCACATCCTGCAGTCCTTCCTCCGTGTTCCGTGCCTGCACCATTAGGGACACACGTGGGGACATGCCTGGGTGTCCCCAGGGCTGCATCCAACCTTGGGGACACGTTTGTCCCCAGGGTGATGGATTGGCTTGGGGTCACATTTCCATGCCAGCACTGTGTCCTCACTGTCACCCAGCCATGTACCACTGTCACTTACCTATATGGCCACCCTTATGTCCCCGCTGTCACCCCCAGGGTGTCACTGCCCTGTCCCCACTGTCACTCTGGGTAACAACAGCCCAAGTGCCACCACCCTGTCCCTGCCATCATCCCAAGTGCCACCACTCTGTCACCACTGTCCCCCCTTAAGTGTCACTGTCCTGTTCCTCTCACCACCCCGAGTGCCACCACCCTGTCCCTGCTGTCAGCCTGAGTGCCACCACTTTGTCCCCCTTAAGTGCCACTACTCTGTCCCTGCTGTCACTCCCTAAGTGCCACCACCCTGTCCCCCCAACCCTGCTAAGTGCCACCACCCTACTGCTGCTATCTCCCCTTAAGTGTCACTGTCCTGTCCCTGCTGTCACCCTCCAAGTACCACCACCCTGTCCCTGCTGTGACCACCCCAAGTGTCACCACTCCATCCTCTTTATCACCCCATAAGTGCCACTGCCCTGTCCCTGTTGTCACCCCAAGTGCCACCATCCTGTCCCCTCTGTCCCTCCTACATGCCACCACCCTATTGCTGCAATCCCCCCTTGAGGGCCACCACTCTGTCCTCTCTGTCACCCCATAAGTGTCACTGTCCTGTCCCTGCTGTCACCCCAAGTGCCACCACCCTGTCCCTGCTGTCACCCCAAATGCCACCACCCTGTCCCCTCTGTCGCCCCATAAGTGCCACCACCCTGTCCGTGCTGTCACCCCAAATGCCACCACCCTGTCCCCTCTGTCGCCCCATAAGTGCCACCACCCTGTCCCTGCTGTCACTCCAAGTGCCACCACCCTGTCACTGTTGTGACCACCCCAAATGCCACCACCCTGTCCCCTCTGTCCCCCCTAAGAGCCACCGCCCTCTCCCTACCATCACCCCAAGCGCCACAACGTGGTCCCCTCTCTCACCCCATAAGTGCCACCACCCCGTCCCTGCTGTCACCCCCACGCCACCCCCTTCCTGTGCCCCCTCACCATCCCGGTGTGTCCCAGCAGCCAGCTGCGCCATGGTGGCAGAGGGAAGTGACGCAGCTGCTGGCAGGTGGCTTGGAAACGGGTGACAGCACCCACTGCATCCCTCAACCAGGCCACCAGCAGGGCCACCAGCAGGGCCACCAGAAGCCAGGACAGCACCATCGTCACTGCTGGTGGGTGACACGAAACCAGGGGCGAAGGTCGGGGTGAGGGTGTGACGTGTTGTCATGTGGTGTCACCACGTGTGTCCCGGTGCCATTGTGCCACCGTCTGTGTCCTGGTGGCGTTGTCACACCATGTATGTGTCCTGGAGGCTCTGTGTGTCCCCTCCAACCCCCCCCACCCCCCACATTGCGTCCCTGTGCCTTCCGCATCAACCCCACCCCCACCCTGGGATCCAGTTCAACCAGTTGTGCAGGAGCTGGGTGTGACAGCGGTGTGTGCACAAATGCAGCAGGAACACACGTGCACACGCATGCATGCAGGCACCTGCGTGTATGCATGTGTGCAAGCACACACCTCATGCGTGCACACAAGCTCACAACCTCCCCCTTGCACATGCTTGCAGTGAAGATGCACACGGCTGCGCACACCTGCCCACGCACCCATGGACGTGTGTGCACACAGGTACACGTGTAAACACACATGCAGCCCTGTGCATGCACACACACACTTCTGTGAACACAGACCACACATTTACACAGGTGTATGCACACGTATGTGCACAGGCACCCATGTGCAGGCACACAATGCGCATACGTTGCACACATACGTGCACACCCACTGCACACACATATATGGCATGCACGCGTGCACGCATGGCACGTACCTTTGCACACACGATACACATGTATGAGGACACCCATTGCACACATATGTGTACACACGTTGCCCACACATGCGTGTGCACACACATGCATTGCACGCACACGTGCACACCCACTGCACACGCTGCACGCGCGTGCCCATATTTGTGCACACATTGCATGCACACACACACACCCATTGCACACATACATGCACGCACAGCGCACGCACACTTGTACACAAATTACACACCCGCTGCATGCACACATACACCCCTTGCACGCGTGTTGCACACACACCGTACACCCATTGCACACCGCCGTGCACACCCCTCGCACACGCAGTGCACAGAGCCCATGTGACAACACAGGGGTGGGACAAAGTCCGTGCGGTCCATAGGGCACCATGCACTGCTCTGCTGCTGCTGTCCTCCTGCTGCTGGAGCTGCTCAGCGCCCGCACCCAAGCAGGTAAGGGACACGAGGACACTGCACTGCCATGTGACACCTCAACATGCCACTGCCTGGCATCACATGGCACCACACGGCACCACACAGCGTTGCATGGCACCACATGCTAACACGTGGCACCATATGGCACCACACGGCACCACATGGCATCACATGGCACCACATGGCACCACACTACGTGGCACCACGTGGCAGCACATGGCAGCACATGGCAGCACATGGCACCACATGACATCACATGACATCACATGGCAGCACATGGCAGCACATGGCACCACACTGCACCACACAGTAATACGTGGCACCACATGCTAACAAACACCCGGCACCAGATGGCACCTTGCAGCACCACATGGCACCACATGGCACCACGTGCTAACACACAGCACTACGTGGCACCACGTGACATCACGTGGCACCACATGCTAACACATGGCATCACATGGCACCACATGACACCACACTGCATGGCACCACATGGCACCACAGTGCACCACATGCTAACACATGGCACCACATGGCACACACAGCAATACATGGCACCACATGGCACAACATGGTAACACATGGCACCACATAGCACCACGTGGCACTACACAATATCACACAGCACCATGTGGCACCACACAGCAGTACATGGCACCACATGGCACCACGTGCTAACACATGGCACAACATGCTAACACATGGCACAACACGCTTACACACGGCACCACATGGCACCACATGGCACCACATGCTAACACATGGCACCACATGCACCACATGGCATAACATGCTAACACACGGCACTACATGGCACCACATGCTAACACACAGCACCACATGCACCACATGGCATAACATGCTAACACACGGCACTACATGGCACCACATGCTAACACATGGCACCACATGCTAACACATGTCACAACATGCTTACACATGGCACCACATGGCACAACATGCTAACTCACAGCACCACGTGGCACCACATGGCACCACATGCTAACACACAGCACCACATGCACCACATGGAACAACATGCTAACACACGGCACTACATGGCACAACATGCTAACACATGGCAAAGCATGCTAACACATAGCAATGCATAGCACCACATGCTAACAAATGGCACCACATGCATCACATGGCACAACATGCTAACACATGGCACTACATGGCACAACATGCTAGCGCACAGCACCACATGGCACAACATGCTAACACACGGCACTACATGGCACAACATGCTAACACGCGGCACAACATGCTAACACATGGCACCACATGGCACAACATGCTAACACACGGCACTACATGGCACCACATGCTAACACACGGCACAACATGCTAACACATGGCACCACATGGCACAACATGCTAACACACAGCACTACATGGCACCACATGCTAACACATGGCACCACATGCTAACACATGGCACCACATGGCACTACATACTAATAGACGGCACTACATGGCACCACATGCTAACACATGGTACCACATGCTAACACATGGCACCACATGGCACCACATGCTAACACATGGTACACATGGCACCACATGCTAACACATGGCACCACTTGGCACCACATGCACCACATGGCACCACATGCTAACACATGGCACCACATGGCACAACATGCTAACACACGGCATCACACAGCACCGCATGCCTCCACACACCACCACATGACATGGCATGATGCTGCATGCCACCACATGTATTCACACGTATCCACACGCCACCACACGCCACCACACGTTACCGCAGGTCACCACATTTCATCCCATCTCACTACACGCCACCATAGGTCACTACATGTCTCCACGTGTCACCACATGACATCCCATGTTTCCACACCTCAACACGTGTCACCACACGTCGCACTTTTTACCCAATTCCGGGAGATTTTTGCCCAAATCTGTGCCCAAATTGGGGCAGATTGTCAACCAGTGGGGAGGGTGGGGGTATGGATGTGGGGCCCAAATGACATTTTGGGGGCAGATTTGTGCTTTTGGATTCATTGCCCCCCCAGTTTGGGGCATATTCCTCCTTTTTTGGGGGTTCATACCCTCTAATTTGGGTTCATACCCCCCCAATTTGGGAAACATTTGCCCTTTCTGGGGTGCATTCCCCCTTCTTTGGGTCCCTCCCCTCCAACTTTGGGCACATTCCTCCTTCTCTGGACTTCATTCCCCTTTCTTCAGGCTCCTCCCCCCTGCAGTTTTGGGGACATTTCCTTCTTTTTTGGGGTGCATTCCCCCCCCCCCCCATCTTTTTTTTTTTTGTTCATCCTCTCCAATTTTGGGTACATTTCCCCATTTTTTTGGCTGCACTCCCCTTTTTCTGGGGCTGCATTCCCGACTTCTGGGCGCATTCCCAACCTCGGGGTGCACCCTCCCTCCTTCCCCCCTCCCCATTTTTGGTGCATTCTCCCCTCTTTTGGGCTCTCATTCCCATCTCTGCATGCATCCCTCCCCCCTTTTCATCTGCATCCCCCCTTTCCTCGGGCGCATCCCTCCGATTTAAGATCCATTTCCCCTTTTATTTTTTGGGAGTGGGTGCGCATTTCCCCATTTTTTTTTTGGTTCACCCCCCCCAGTTTTCATCTTCCTCCCCCATTCCTGTCTCACCTCCAGCCTTCCTCCCACACCACATCTCCTCGTTGATCCCAATCCTACAATCCCTGGAGGTCGATGACACCCCGGACATCCCATCTCTGGTGCGGGCGCTGGGGGGCTGCAGGACCCCCGTGTGCCACACACTGCTTGGAGACCCCCCTCCCACCCCAAAGCCAATCCCTGAGCTCTGGACGTTGCTCGCCCACCTCCTCCACCCCAACACCACAGCAGCAGAGCACGGCCTGGTGTTGGCACCTGATGGTTCCACCGTTGCGTTGGCACCGCTCTTCGCTGGCATCGAAGTGGGGCTGAAGAGGGCAGCGGGGTGGTCCGGCCCCATTGATCAACCCTACGCTGCTCTGGATGCTCTCTACGCCGTCACCATCACTGAAGCTCTTGGGACATCCTTCCTCATGGCACGGGTCAACGGGACGGCCGCCTTGGGACCCGATGGGTGTTGGGATGATGTGGACAACCCACAAAACTTCACCCTGTTGGGACCCCCATCGCTCGTCCCCGATGCTGTCGCCAACGGGGCGATGGATGGGGTGCTGTTGGGCACACGCTTGGCTGAAGAACCCATCCCACTCTCCGTCCTATTCCGGAGATATTATGGTGTGGAGAATGGGATCACAAGCGGGTGGCCCCACAGCAGCCGCAGGCGTCGGGATTTCGGGGCGCTGACGGCAGTGGGGAAGTTGGAGGAGGAGGTGGCGGCAATGCTGAGGGTGCTGAGGGGGCTGTCACCCACCCGTGAGCTCCTGGAGGAATTTGGGGAGGAGGAGGAGGCGGGCGTCGCTCATCGGGCAGCACGGGAGTTCATGGAGGTGTACGTTGGTGAGTAGGTGCCCAAAGTGAAGGTTGGGGTGGGAGCTGGGTGGTGGGATGGGAGGTGGGAATGGCGTCGGGATGGCGATGGGTTGAGTGTTGGGATGGATGGTGGGATGGAGGGCAGGGATGGGTGCTGGGATGAGTGCTGGGAATGGTGTTGGGAATGATGCTGGGGTGGGTGATGGGATAAGAGGAGGGAATTGTGTTGGGATGGGTGTTGAGATGGGGGCTGGGTGCTGGGATGGGTGGTGGGAACGGTGATCAGGTGAATGTTAGGATGGATGGTGGGATGGGGACAGGGATGGGTGATGGTGTGGGTGGTGGATGATGGGTGGTGGGATGAGTGGTGGGTGCTGGAATGGGTGGTGGGTGCTGGGGTGGGTGTTGGGATAGGTGATGTTTGCTGAGATGGGTGATGGGTGCTGGAATGGCTGGTGGGAATGGTGATAGGAACGATGCTGAGTAAAGCTGGGGGCATCCCAGGGAAGGTGTCACTGTGCTCATGGTGACACATGGAGTGGCGTGGCCAGATATCAGTGTGTCTCCTGGATGGACACCACTGAGTCCCAAGATGGTAGATTTGGGGTAGATGCCTCTTTATCCCCTGGATGGACACTGGTTTGCCTCTAGCTGGTGGCCTGGATGGACATTGCCATGTCCCCTAGATGGATATCAGTGTATCCCCAGTTGGTGGGATCTCCCCAAGGATCTCCCCAAGGAGAGACACCATCATGTCCCCTGGATGGACACTGGTTTGTCTCTAGTTGGTGGTCCATGGATAGATAACACCGCATCCCCTTGCTGGTCACCAGCGTGTCCACAGATGGCAGGTTTTTAGATGGACACCACTACGTCCCCTCGATGGACACATCAGTGTCCTCTGGAGGGGGGTCCCTGGACACTGGACAAAGCCATGGCAGCCAAGGGCAGATTCTCCATGTCCCCTGGACAAGGTGTCCCCAGGTGGACTCAGCAGTGCCCCCAAACCAAGGAACTCCCCAAAGGCAGATGCTCCACATTCCCAAGACCAAATACACCCCCCAACAACAACCACCTGCCTTCCCTCACAGAGTGCCCAGCCATCATCCCCCGCTGCATGTGGGGTGCCCGTCCCTACCGAGGCACCCCCAAACCCTTGTCCCCACCTTTGGGTTCCATCTACATCCACCACACCTTCGTGCCCAGCGCCCCATGCCGCTCCTTCGCCGCCTGCGCCCGCGACATGCGCTCCATGCAGCTCTTCCACCAGGACACCCGTGGCTGGGATGACATCGGCTACAGGTGAGACTGGTGTCACAGTGACCCCACCACGGTCCCTATGACTGGAGGGGGATTGACCAAGGTTGGGTCGATCAACACAGAATTGACCAATGTTGGGTTGACCAATGTTGGTTGACCAACATTGGGCTGACAAATATTGGGTTGACCAACGTTGGGTTGGCCAACGTTGGGCTGACCAACGTTGGGTTGGCCAACATTGGGCTGACAAATATTGGGTTGACCAACGTTGGGTTGGCCAACATTGGGCCGACAAATATTGGGTTGACCAATGTTAGGCTGACCAACATTGGGCTGACAAATATTGGGTTGACCAATGTTGGGTTGACAAATATTGGGTTGACCAATGTTGGGTTGACCAATGTTGGGTTGACAAATATTGGGTTGACCAATGTTGGGTTGACCAACATTAGGTTGACCAACATTGGGCTGATCAGCGTTGGGTTGACCAATATTGGGTTGACCAACGTTGGGTTGGCCAACATCGGGCTGACAAATGTTGGGTTGACCAACTTTGGGTTGACCAATGTTGGGTTGACCAACGTTGAGTTGACCACTGTTGGGTGCCCACAGCTTCGTGGTGGGCTCAGATGGATACCTGTACCAAGGGCGAGGTTGGCACTGGGTGGGTGCCCATACCAGAGGTCACAACACCAAGGGCTACGGAGTGGGCTACGTGGGCAACTTCTCAACCAGCTTGCCGGATCCTGAGGCCATCGCTTTGGTGCGTGATGGCCTCATACCGTGTGCCGTGAGGGCTGGGTGGCTCCACCAGAACTACACTCTGCATGGCCACAGGCAAATGGTGAACACCAGCTGCCCCGGGGATGCCCTGTTTCAGGAGATCCAAACCTGGCATGGCTTCAAGGTGGGCACTGGGTCCTGTGGCATTGCTGGGATTGGGCATCTGGCTCACTCTGATGCTCTGGAGATGGAGGGTTGGGGGAAGTGTGGGGGATGCTGGGGATGACCACGGTTCCTTCTCTTCTCTTCAGTGAGGATTGGCCCCATGGGTGCTGGTCTGTGTGGGTGCTGCAAAGGTTGGATCCTGATCTACACGGATGGTGGTCTGATGGGGGACAGATGGGGCACCAGTCCCGATGGACACCATATGGACTCTATTCCAGTGATTCCAATCTGCATGGAGCCTGGTCCATCAGGACACCAACCCAATGAGTGTCAGACCATGTGGACCCCAGGCTGTGTGTACAACAACCCAATGGATATCAGACCAGATGGACCCTGGTCCATACAGACCCCAGCTCAATGAATTCCAGATCAGAAGGTCCCCAGTCCACATGGAGCCCAACCCAATGGATGTCAGAACAGATGGACCCTGCTCCATTTGGACTCCAACTCAATGAATTCCAGAGCAGCAGGATCCCAGTCCACGTGGACCCCAACCCAAGGATGCCATACCAGGACACCAGTCTCTGGAACACCTGGCTTGCTCCCAGTGGTCCGACAGACCGTGCCCATGGCCTCAAACATCCCATAATAAAGTCAGTGCCAGGATAGCTGCTTGGGGTGACCTCTGGAGGGAAACTGAGGCATGGGCTGGGGAGGCAGAACGTCGTTCTACACGTGTATGCAAAATCCTTGTGCTTCCCTCATAGCACAAGGGGAGAACCCAAACTTAGCCCACCCTGGGGACACTCATGCCCACCCCAGACCTTTCAGGGCTCACCCCCTCCCACCCAGCCCCATGCAGGACCCCATAACCCCTGCGTGCACACACACCACGCAGCGCTCCAACACCTCCATCTCCGATTCCTGTGTTCACTCTGAAACCTAATGACAGCCTTTACTCCGGACACGCACCGCTGTGACCTCAATACCCGGTGCAGTGCTCCGGGGGGGTGGGGGGCTCAGCCTGCTCGGTGCCCCCCGGGGCTGTGGCCGAGCTCTATCCATTCGGGCTGGGCGCACAGATAACATCATTGGGGCAGAGGCGGAGGTGAGGGTGTGACTGAAACTCCTGCTGGGTCACATGGGGAAGCCACGGCAGGAACCGGGTGTCAGAGGAGGCAGCGAGCAGTGAGGTATGGCGGGGTTGGGGGCACACGGGGGGGGTGAGGGGGTGGCACCCTAAGGGGATGCTGCATCCTTGGGAGCAGCTGTGGGGGGCGTGGGGTGCTGGGGTGAGCAGCACCGTGCTGATGGGGTGATGGGGTGCTGCCAGGTGGGACGGTTTGCACCCCAAAGACCCCAAAAGTTAGCAGCACCCCATAGGCCCCAAAAGCACTGGCATCACCCCCAGGGTGGGGGTACCTCCCTGAAGGCGGGGGCACCCTCCCTGGGTCACCCTTTGGGTGCTGACCCCCAAATTGATGGGTGCCTGCAGCTCGTGGTGTCACCACGATGAGGATCATCCAAGCCCCATGAGCACCCATTTAGTGCTGCACCCACCCTGGGGTGCCATGGGAGGGGGAGGGGGGTCCCATCCTCGGGCCCCCCCCCCAGCCCGGCGTGGGGCCACGCACAGGGTGCAGATGGCGGGAGGAAACGCGGCAGAGACGCGGAGGAGGGGGAGGAAAGGGGGGGGGAAGCGCGGCTGCCGCAGCCACGGAAGCATCGTCGGCACCGCCTGCGCCCGGGGATGGGGTGGCAGTGGGGCCACCCACAGGTGTCACCCTACAGCCCCGTCACCGCACCCCGGTGGCTCCGTGTCTCAATCTGATACGCATCCCAGGATTGGGATGGTGCAGAGGGTCGAAGTGCCCCGTGGATATGGGGTCGGCGCGTCCCATGGATGTGGGGTCGGGGAGTGCCACCCTGTGGCCACCCCGCAGCCGCCCAGCGCCCATCCTCGGATATCATCATCCTGGCACAGCTCTTCGCTTTGGGCACCCCATCCTGGCACTCCCACCTTGGGGTTGTCCTCCACTGCGCTTTCATCCACCCCCCTCTCCATCCCGGCACCCCGTTTATGCGTCCCCTCGTTCTGGGAGGGGGGTGTGAGCAGGCAGGGATGCGTGCATGTGGGGGAGGGAGCAGATGGGGGCACCCAAATAGGGGTCTGCAATGGGGCAGAGATGTAGGGGTGCCCCAATAAGGGTGTCTGGATGGAGGGGGGGGAGTCTTGAAGGGGGTGCTGATGGTGGGTGCAAGGAGAGGGGCACTCAAATAAAGGATCTGAGTGGGGGCTCCTGGATGAGGTGTCCTGGATAGGGGCACCCAATTAGGAGTGTGCAACTGGGGTGTCTATATGGGGGTGTCCCAATAAGGGTGTCTGGATGGGGGTGTTGTGATGTGGGTGCCCCGTGCTTGGATGGAGGACACAAATAGGGGGTGCTGGGGGAGAAAATGGGGGATCTCCTACAGGTTTGCCCACAAAGGGGTGACCCAGTTGGGATATTTTTGGATGAGGGTACACAAATTGAGGTGTCTGGGGGGTGGGTGCCCAGGTAAGGGCACCCAAATAGGGGAGCTGAGATGGGGGTACCCCTACAGGGATGCCCACACAGGGATAACCCAGTAGGGGTGTGCAAAGGGGGCAAGTGATATTGGGTGCCCCAATAAGGGTACCTGGATGGGGGTGATCAGATAGAGCCCCCCAGATAAGGGTACCGGTACAAGGGTGCCTGAATGGAGTGTCCTGGGTGAGGGTGTGAAATGTGGGCACCCCCGGCAGGGATGCTTGGATGGGGGCACCCAAATTGGGGTGCTGGAATTGGGGAACCCACACAGGGATGATCGCACACGATTGACCCCAATAGGGGTGCCTGGACACGGGTACCCAAAAAGAGGTGTGCAAACGGGGTAGCAATACCAGAGTGCCCCCATACAGATGCTAAGATGGAGGTGTTGAGATAGAGGCTCCCCAGATTAGGACACCTGTTATGGGGACACCTGGATGGGGGCACCCAAATAGGAGTGCTGGAATTGGGATGCCCCAGTGGGAATGCTTAGACAGGGGGACCAAAATAGAGGGGCTGGAATGAAGGTGCCCAAATTGGGGTGCCTGGATAGGAGTATCCCAGTTGGGATGTTTGGATATAAGTACTCAAATCGGGGTGCTGGAAGGTGGATGCCAAAATTGGGGTGCCTGGATAGGAATGCCTGGATAGTGGTGCTTGGGTGAGGGCACCCAAATTGGGGTGCCTGGATAGAGGTGCCTGGATAGGGGTGCCTGGATAGGGGTGTTGGGTGAGGGCACCCGAACTCAGATGCTGGGATGGGGATGCTTGGATAGGGCACCCAAATTGGGGTGCTGGGATGGGGATGCCTGGATAGGGCAACCAAATTGGGGTGCTAGAACTTGGATGCCCAAATTGGGGTGCCTGGATAGGGGTGCCCCAGTAGGGATGCTTGGATGAGGACACCTGAATTGGGGTGCTGGGAGGTGCCTCTGGGGGCTCGTGAAGCTCACCCCATCCCACAGATGGAAGTGGAGAAGCCCCCCCAAAATGCTGAGCCGCCAACACTGCTGAAGACGTACCGATGGCGAACGGCAGCACCCGCAGGCGAGCGGGACCCCGAGCGGTGCAGTGCGACCCCGGGTGGTCGGCACTGGAGCCGGCTGCAGGGCTGGAAGCGTTCCTACAGCCAACCCGAGTCTGAGAGCCTCGACGATGGCGCTGGGAAGGGCAGCTCCAACCTGGGGGCACCCAAAGCCAGTGCCCGTCGGTCCCTCTTCCAAAGGGCGTTCTCGGCGCCCTCCAAGGTGGTCAAGGAGCCACGAAACCCCGAGGGTGGCAAAGGCACCCTACAGAAGTACCTGCGCTCCATGTCCAAGAAGAAGGGCTACGTGGAGAACGGGGCCAGGGCTGAGAAGGGGTCCCACGAGGCCATCCCAGGTATGGAGGTGTTTGGGGTGGTGGGGATGGGAGTGGGATGGGGTGGGGTGGGGATTGGAATGAGTGGGGATGGAATGAGGATGAGATGGGAGTGGGGTGGAGATGAGGATGGGGGTAGGATGGGGACGTTGCTGGGGGTGGGGATGGGGATGAGATCAGGGTGGATGGGGATGTAGGTGGGATGGAGATGGAGATAGGATGGGATTTGTGTGGGGATGAGCTGGGATTGGGGTGGGGATGGAATGGGTATGAGATGGAAGTGGGATGGAGATGACATGGGGGTGAGGGTGGGGATGGGGTTGGGATGGAGATGGGGATGAGATGGGAGAGGAATGGGGATGGAATGGGAATGAGGTGGGGGTGGAATGGGGATGGGGATGGGAGTGGGATGGAAATGGGGTGGCGGTCATGGGCTGAGGTGGTGGATGGTGGAGATGGGTGATGGTTTGGGGTGTAGAGTTTGTGGGTGCCGGTTGGGTGTGACGGGTGGTGATGCTGGATGAAGGATTGAGTGTGATGAGTGATAGGGAAAGATGGTGGATAAGGGGCTTGAGGGACAGTGGGTGGTGGGCAGTGGAGACGGATGGTGGGTTGGAGGAAAAAGAGCTGGGTTTGATGGGTTGGTAGGCAGTGGGGATGGGTGATGGCCTGGAAAGCACAGGGTAATGGGATGTGCTCCTCAGCATCACTGCACCAGTGATGGTGTGGCCACGGCCACATCCCCTGGCATCCTCATGGTAGCACCTCCATGGCCACTCGTCCTCCAGCATCGCCACACCAGTGGTGACACAATAGCCACGTGGCTTTTGGCATCACAGCCCCCGGGATGGTGGCATGATGGCAGTGTCCCCATGTCCCCTGGCCCCACCACCCCAATCGTACCACGACATTGTCACACCTACTGCAGCACAGTCACAGCCACGCTAAATGCCAACCATGGGACACGGGGACACAACAAGTGCCCATTCGGTGCTCCTGACCCCTCTGCTCCACACCCCCAGCCCCAGAGAGCAACCACGCTGCCCCATCCATCCCATTGCCTCCGGCAACCGATGTCACAGTGTGGGACGTCTCCAACTTCTCACTGGTAGACGGACAGCTGGTCCATGTGGGCCGAGACGAGGAGGTGAGGATGTGGGTACCCCTTATGTTATGGGGTGCACAGGGTGCTGAGCATTTGGTCCCTGACCCCCCTCTGCGTCCTCAGACTTGGAGCAGGAACAGAAACCGGACCGGGAGCTCTGAGAGCAGCAGCCTGCACCCAGTGGGTGGCAGGAGGGACATCGGTGAGCTGACGACGTGGGGTGTTTGCGCGCACTGGTGCAAGCTCCAGTGCAGCTCCAGGGGCACGCCACGCACCACGTTGTGCACTTTGCTTCCCACCATGCACCACGCCATGCCCTGTGCTGCACACCATGCCACGCGCAAGCCCGTGCACCACTCCATGCTTTGTGCCACGTGCATTGCACATCGTGCACCACCGTGCCATGCACCAAACCGTGCACCGCACCGCATCCTGTGCCACGCATCTTGCGTTTTGCACCGCGCCCCAACACCACGCACCTTGCCCTACACCTTGCCCCATGACTCGCATCGTGCACTGTGCATCGTGCCCCACTCCATGCACCCCACTCGTGCGTCTTGCACTGTGGATCTTGCACTGCACATTGTGCCCCACACCCCGGTGCGGAGGAAGCCCTCCATGTGCCGTCACCGCTTCCTCCGCGCCGCTGCTGTGCGCTGATCCTCCTGATAAGGGCTTCCTTGCCACCATGGGCCCCCGTCGCTGGCTGCTGTGCGCGGCGCACGGTGAGACCCCAACCCTAGCTCGACCCCCCTGCACGCTGATGCACCCACCAGTGGGCCGCACCCCATGCGTGGCCGTGCTTCCTTCTGCTTTTTGGGGAGGTGGGTGCCGCACCCCGTCGTGGTTTCGGGGTCTAACATGGGCCACCCCAACAGACCCCGAGGAGAGGAGTGTGAGGACAGCTGGAAAAGGCACCGACAGCGACGGCTCCACCACCTCGCAGTTCAGCAACGTGAAGGTGGGTCCCACTGTCACCCACGGGTGTCACACTGTTCCTCGGGCTCACCTGTCGTGCCTCCATCCCCACCCTACAGGGACTGCTGTGGAAGAGACTGCGGGAGCGGAAAGGTCGCATTGTGTCCAAAAATGAGAGCTCAGCGGCGGTTGGCACAGATGGAGAAAGGTATGAAGGTGGTGGGGACAGCGTGGGGACAGCGTGGAGGGTCTTTGGTGACAGCTGTATCTGCAACAGGGCCCCAAGCCGCAGTGGCTCCCATGAATCCCTGCTGCCAGCACCCAGCGCAGCCGAGCTGGACCTCAGTGGGGAGAATGTCATCGTGCGCCCCGTGCACGGCAGCATCGTGGGCGAGAAATTCTGCTTCCAGGTGATGTTGCTGGGGGAAGGGCAAGACAAGCAGGCCATACATACACCCTATAGAGGCACCCAGGGTACCCTGCAGAGGCACCCAGAGCACCCCAGAAATCCTGGATGTGCATCCAGAGCACCCAGGGCACTCTGTAGATGCACCCAGGGCACACAGGACACCCTATAAGGGTGCCAAAGATACCCTGGGCCCTATAGAGGCACCCAGGGCACCTCGGCACACACACCCCCAGGTGCCCCCTGACCTCCTCCCTGTCTGCAGATCATCACAGGTGGGCACAGCCACTCCTTCGGGTGCAGCTCCTTGGCTGAACGCGACCGCTGGATTGAGAACCTGCGCCGCACGGTGCAGCCCAACAAGGTGGGACCCCCAGGGACCTCCCACAGGCCCTGTCCTCATTGTGTCCCCTTGTGTCCTGCTGTCCCTCTGTGGATTTGGCCATCCTCTTGTGTCCTGAAGTATTTGGCCATCCATACCCCTGTGTCTCCTCCCATCCCTCATATCCCCTCCAGTCCCCTGTTTTCCCTCCAAATCACACATCTCCTCTTGTCCCCAAGGTCTCTTTGTGTCCTCTGTGACCCCTTCTGTCCTAATATTCCTTCCTGTGCCCCATGTGCCCTCCTGTCCCCAAGGCCTCCTCCTATCTCCCATGTTCCTCATGTCTGCCATGTCCTCTCCTATCCTGTCCAGTCCCCTCATGTTCCCAGTGCCACATCCTGTCCTCCATATCATAGAATCATAGAATCATAGAATCATAGAATCATAGAATGGGCTGGGTTGAAACGAACCAATGATCATCAATATCCCCTCCTTTCCCCATGCTCCCTCATGTTCCCCAAGTCCTCAATTCCCCCTCGCATCCTCCACATCCCTTTATGTCCCCAATTCCCCACCATGCCTCCCATGTCCCCTCCTGTCCCCCAAGTCCCCTCCTGTCCCCAGTGCCAGCTCCTGTCCCCCATGTCCTCTCCACTCCCCCATGTCTCCTTCTTCTCCCAGCGTCCCCTCCTGTCCCCCGTGTCTTCTCCAGTCCTACTTTCCCTTCCAGTCCCATGTTCCCATCTGTTCCACATCTCCTCCTGTTCCCCAACATCCCTCCTGTCCCAAATGCCACCTCCTGTCCCATGGATATGGATACCCTCCTATCCCCCATGCTCCCACGTCCCCTCCCGTCCCCCAAGTCCCCTCCTGCCCTCAATGTCCCATCCTGCCCCCTGTATCTAATCCAGCCCCACTTTCCCATCCAGTCTCACCTCCCCACCTGTCCCACATCCCCTCCTACCCCCCCATTGTCCCCTCCTGTCCCCAGGACAACTGCGAGCGCCTGGAGCTGGCTCTGAGCCTGTGGGTGTACGAGGCACGGGACCTGCCGCCCCGCCGCCGCCTGCGGTGCCACCTCCACCTGGACGGCACGCTCTTCGCCCGCACCACCGCCAAAGTGTCCGGTCCCGACGGCGAGCTCTTTTGGGGGGAGCTCTTCCAGCTGGCCGCCCTCCCACCCTCCCGCGCCCTCACCCTCTCGCTTTGCCGTGATGATCAGGGCCACCCCAGCCAGCCGGTGGCATCTGTCACCGTCCCTTTGGCCGAGCTGGCTGCTGCCCGGCAGCCCTTGGAGCGGTGGTATCCGTTGAGCAGTCATGGTGGCAATGACCAGGCGCCAGCGGTGCGGGTGCGCGGGCGGTACCGGGAGGTGAGGGTGCTGCCCATCGTACGCTACAAGGAGTTGGCTGAGTTCATCACCTTCCACTATCGGGAGTTGTGTGCCTGCCTGGAGCCCACCATCGCCGTGAGACACAAGGAGGAGCTCGCCGGCGCCTTGGTGCACGTCCTGCAGAGCACCGGGAAAGCCAAGGTTGGTGGCCGTGGTGGGATGGACACGGTGGTCGGGGTGGGGTGAGGGTGGGATGGGTGATGGTTGTGATGGGGTGGATGTTGTGCTTGGGTTGGGATGGAGGGAGGGAGGGATGTGCCCAAGTTGTGATAGATACGATGGTTGGGGTGGGATGGGTGATGACCAAGTTGGGGGATGTGGTAGTTGGGGTGGGATGGGGGTTGGATGAGTGATGGCTACAGTGGGGTAGATGTGGTGGTTGGGATGGAATGGGCCATGGTTGGGGTGGGATGGACAAGGTGGCTGTGGTGGGACAGACACAGTAGTTGGAGCGGGATGGGTAATGGTCACGGTGGGATGGATGTGATGGTTGAGGTGGGATGGGTGATGACCAAGATGGGGGGGATTTGGTAATTGGGGTGGGATGGAGATTGGATGGCTGATGGCTATGGTGGCAGTGAATGTGGTGGTTGGGGTGGAAAGCATGTTGGCCGTGGTGGGATGAACACAGTGGTTGGGGTGGGATGGAAGAGGGATGGATATGCCCAAATTGTGATGTACATGATGATTGGAGTGGGATGGGGGGAGGGATGGGTGATGGCTGTGGTGGGGTGGATGTGGTGGTGGGGTGGGATAAAGATGGAATGGGTGTACCCAAATTGTGGTGGACATGATGATTGGGGTGGGATGGGATTGTGAGGGGAATGGGGTGGGATGGACAATTGGACAATATTGAATTTGGTTGGGATGGGATGTGTTGGCATGGCAGTGTGAGTGGGATGGGATGGGATGGGATGGGGTGGGAAGTACAACTCAAGGGCACTCCAGGAGATTCCAGCACTGCCCAGACCAGACTGCCCAAGCCACATCGGGCCCATGGGTGCTCCACAACTTCCATCCCACAGGAGTTCCTCATTGACCTTGGAGTGGCCGAGTTGGATCGCTTTGATGATCGGGAGTCGCTCATCTTCCGAGAGAACACATTGGCCACCAAAGCCATTGATGAATACATGAAGCTGGTGGGGGGCAAATACCTCCAGGACACGCTGGGTACGAGCAGGTGTTACGGGATATTATGGGGTGTTACGGGGGCTGGGTATGACTTCATGAGGCATTCCAGGCTATGGGACACCCCGAGGATCTCCATGGGGTTGTCCCACGGCAGTGATGGCTCGGTCCCCTCATTGCCTTTCTCCTGGTGCCCAGGTGAGGCCGTGGCCCAGCTCTGCTCCTCAGATGACAGCTGTGAAGTCGATCCCAGCAAATGTGGTGGCCCTGACCTCTCAGACAACCAGAACAACCTGCGGCAGGTCTGCGAGGAGACCCTCCAGCGCATCGCCACGTCCTGCGAGTGAGGAGCAGCCCTGTGGGGGCGCGGGGGTGGGCTCTGCATAGAGGTGGGTCCGGGGGCAGGAAAGGGGTTGGGAGCTGGCACAGGCAATGGGACAGGTATGGGGGACATGGAGGCAGACTTGGGGGTGGGCATCAGAAAGGATGTGGGGACAAGTCTGGGGACGGATGTGGGCCAGGGATGGAGACAGGCACCATAACCATGGTGATGGGCACTAAGAGTGACGTGGGGACAACTCTGGGGACAGACACAGGGGACAGGGATGGAATTAGGCACCATCCCTGGGATGGCCACAGTGATCAGCAGCAGGAGGGACAGTGGACAAGTCTGGAAACAAACGTGGGGACAGGAATGGAGACAGGCACCATGGCCACAGTGATGGGCACCAGGAAATACAAAAGGGATGGGATTGGGGACAGACATGGGGGGATCAGCATGGGGACAAGCACAACAGCGGTGGGCACCATGTCCCACGGTGGCACATAGGGGACACGAGAGCCACCCACCCACCCCGTCTGTCCCCACAGCATCTTCCCGGCGGAGCTGGGCGAGATCTTCGCAGCGTGGCAGGAGGAGTGCATGGCTCGGGGCAAGGCGGCCATAGGGCAGCGCTTGGTCTCAGCCTCGCTCTTCCTGAGATTCCTCTGCCCTGCCATCATGTCCCCGAGTCTCTTTGGCCTCGTCCAGGAGTACCCGAGTGAGGCCACCGCTCGTACCCTCACCCTGGTGGCCAAGGTCATCCAGAACCTGGCCAACTTCACCACGTACGTCATGGCACGTCACCCCATGGGGGAGATATGGGGCAGCACAGATGTCCCCTACAGCCATGGGGCAGTAGGGATGCCCTCAAACGCCTTGGGGCAACATGAATGTCCCTGATAGTCTATGGGGCTACTAGAACCTCCCTTATGTGCTAAAGGGCAACAGTGATGGACCCTACAGCCCGTGGGGCAGCAGGGGCGTCCTTATCATGCCATAAGGCAGTAGGGATGTCCCTAATACACCATAGGACAACAGGAATGTCCCTGGGATTCCATAGAGGTGCTAGAACCTCGCCTACACACCATGGGGCAGCAGGGATGGACCTTACAAACTCTGGGCACTGAGGGATACTGTGGGGCAGCAGGGATGTCCCCAGGAAGCCACGTGAGCCAAGAAGGACATGGTTCTGGTGGTGGCCCGTGGGTGACTGGCCACCATGGTCCTCAGGTTTGGTGAGAAGGAGGCCTACATGGGCTTCATGAACGAGTTCCTGGAGCACCACTGGAGCACCATGACAGCCTTCCTGAGGAGCGTGGCCAGCCCTGAGAGCAGCGGCCATGTGGCCACCTATGATGGCTACATGGACCTGGCCCTGGAGCTTGCCACCCTCCATCTCCTGCTCTGTGATATCTTCTCCAGCCTGGACCAGGTGCCACCTGCACGTCCCCATGGGTGTCACTGCCCCATGGGTGTCACTGCCCCATGGCCATCCCATGATGTCCCATTTTGTCCCATCAGGCCACACAGGAAGAGCTGGAACCTCTACCCACCATCCTCAATGCCATCAGGGAGGGCACACCAGTCCCTGTCTCCGTCCGGCTCAGCTCCATCACAGAACGAAGGTAACAAAAGGGGAACAAGGGATACACACGGGACCAATGGGGACATGTGGGGTCAGAGGGGTGACACCAGGAGCAGTTTGGGGTGGCTCTGGTTCTGGTTGGCTCCAGGGGGCTCTAGGATTTGGTGGGTGATGGGACCATGGGGACGCTTTGGGAGTGAGAGGATAATGAAGACCTTTTGAGGAATGGTGATGGGGGATTCTTTGGTGGGTGACAAGAATATGGGGACCCTTTGGCGGGTAGTGAAGACCTTTAGAGGTAGGGCCATGGGGAACTTTCGGGGAGGAGCACAGGGATCTTTAAGAGCAGAGCCATGGGAACTCCTTGGTGGGTGATGAGATCTTGGGAATCTCTGGGGCAGGATCTCACTAGGGGGCGGTTCTGGCCTCAAGTGGCTTAGGGATGACTCTGGTCCAGGCTGGGTTCAAGGGACAGTTCTGGTCCCAGGTGCTTTTAGGACATGTTTCTGCTCCTGGATGGATCCTATATATGGTTGTGGTCCAGGATGGGGATGGTTCTGATCCCAGATGGGTTCAGTTCTGGTCCTAAAAGAGTTTGGGGTCCTTCACCTCCTATGTGGTTGTGGTCCAGGATGGGGATGGTTCTGATCCCAGATGGGTTCAGCTCTGATCCCAAAAGAGTTTGGGGTCCTTCACCTCCCTGATACCCCACAGCTCGGAGAGCTTCAAGCCAGGCTTCGTGCCGCCGCGGGAGCTGAGCAAGCACAGCCCTCTCATCAAGAGCCAATCGCTCATCAGCATCCGCCGCGCCCGCAGCCGGGAGGACGGGACAGAAGTGGAATTGGCACCGGTTCCGGTACCGTCACCGCGATCCAGTCGGGAGCGCAGGAACGTGCAGCGCACCCAAAGCGTCCCGGCACAGAACAAAGCTGCCCGGCGTCTGCGCAAGCAGAGCAGCGTCGAGCACGTGGTGGAACCAACGGGAGGGGATGGAGCGAGGTCCTCCGTGCACCGTGAGGGCACCGTGAGTCCCCCCGGGGTGCTGGACTTCGTGGAGGGCCGTCACCCCATGGGGTTACATGAGTGTAGGGATCTTTTGGGGATGGTGGGATCCCGGGGACCTTCTGGTGGAGGATGGGATCACGGGGACACTTTGGTCATAATAGGGTCATGGAGAACTTTTGGGGTAGGGCTGTGGGGACCCTTTGGTGAAAGATGGGCCATGGGGACCTTCTGGTGGAGGATGGGGCCATGGGGACCTTTTGGGGGAGGACAGGAGCACGGTGACCTCTTATGGGTGATGGAAACATGGGGATGTTTTTGGGTAGGGCCATGGGTGGTGGGACTGTGGGGGACCCTTTGGAGGTGACAGGAACATGGGGACTTTTTAGGAATGGTGGGACCATCGGAATCTCTTGGGACAGGGCCAAGGGGACACCTTGATGGTGGCAGAATCATGGTGACATTTCAGGGCAGGGCCATGGAGAACTTTTGGTGGAGGTCGGGATCATGGGGACACTGGTGATTAAAGGATCATGGAGACCTTTTGGGGTTAGGGCCATGGGGACACTTTGGTAGAGGACAGGGCCATGAGGACCCTTTGGTGATGGTGGTACCATGGGAACCTTTTAGAGAAAGGTTATAAGTGGCCCTTTGGGAGTGACAGGATACATGGGGATTTTTTAGGGGCCAGGCAATGGGAGTAGTTTGGGGCAGGACCTCAGGGGGTTCTTTGGTGGGTGATGGGACCATGGGGACCTTTTGAGGGTGAGAGAGGTGTGGAGATGCTTTGAAAGTGACAGATTCTTGTGGGCCCTTTGGGGATGAAGGGATCATGAAGACCCCTCAGGGTATATCCATGGGATCCTACTGGGGAGACAGGGACGTGGGGATACTTTGGTGGGTGACATGACTGTGGGGACTCTTTGGTGAGTGATGGGTCCATGGATCTATTTGGAGGCAGGGCTATGGGGACCTTTTGAGACAGGACCAAGGGTACCTTTGGGGGATGACAGGAACATAGGGATGCTTTCAGGATGAAAGGACATGGAGATCTCTCCATGATGCTGTCATGGGGAACCCTCAGTGCAGGTCCATGGGGATATTTTGGGGATGACAAATCCATGGAGACTCAATGGAGATGACAGGACCACGGGGAACCAATGGGGACAACAGGGCCATAGAGATCTACTGGGGTGATATGTCCATGGATCCATTGGGGAAGTCAGATCCATGGGGACTCTTTGGGGACGATAAATCCATGTGGACCCATTGGGGATGACGTCCAGGGGGGCCGGCATTTCCATTGGGACCCACTGAGGATGATGGGACTCTGGGGACTCTTTGTGGATGATGGGACCATGGGACCCCTCAGTGCAGGTCTATGGAGACCCTTTGGGAATGACAGACCCCTGGGGGGCCCATTGGGGATGGGAGGTCCATGGGGACATTTGGAGGTCACCATACCCTCACTGTGCAGTCCCTGCCCCGCTGCACACCCAAGGGTGCTGACACTGATGTGTGCCCCCGATGTTGTAGGGCCGCTCAAAGCTGCGCCCATCGGTGTCACTGCCACGTAAATCCACGGTGCCGTGGCAGCGCTATGCTGAGGAGGTGTCAGTGGCACAGGGTGAGCTCTACGCCATCCGCCCGCTGGAGAAGGTAACCTGGGGAGCATGGCACCGGGACGGCACCCATAGGGACACCATGCTGACAGCCATCCCTGCATCCCCAGCAGCATGGGAGGCAGATCGAGGCACTGCGGAAGGAGGTGGCTGAAGGCCAGGAGAGGCTGCGGGTGGTGGAGGAGAAGGTGGGCGAGCTGGAGGGCAAGCAGCATGGGCTGCAGCAGGAGCAGGGCCAGCACCAAGAGCTGCTTGAGCGTCTGCGTCTGCAGCTGGAGGAGAGCAATGCACGGATGGCCAATGTGGTTGCCAGGTGGGTGTCACCAAGGCACGGGTGTCCCCAAAGCCCTGATGTCCCCAAAACCCAGGCGTCCCTGAGGGTTTGTTGTCCCCACAACCCAGGTGTCCGCAGAGTCTCAATGTCCTCAAAGCCTGGATATCCCCAAAATCCTCGTATCCACAAAGCATGACTTTTGCCTGTGTGTGTTCCCAAATCTTTGGTGTCCCCAAAGCCTCGATGTCCCAACAGCCTTTATGGCCCCAAAGCCCACGTGTTCCCAAATCCTGGGTGCCCCAAAGCCTCAGCACCCCCAAAGCTGTGGTGTTCCCAAGTCTTTGGTGTCCCCAAAGCCTCAATATCCCCATACCCTCAATCAAATCTTCGGGGCCTCAAATCTTTGGGGCTCACCTGCGCTGCTTTAGGCTGACGGCAGCTGAAGGGACCCGCAAGAAGGACCTGGAGAGGCTGAAGGCAAGCGAGGATCGGGGCAGAGCGCTGGTAAGACACTGGGACCCTGGAGATAGGGACAAGGACAGGGCCATGTGGTGGTGGTGGTGGCACTGACGCATCCCCTGGCAGGAGAGCAGGCTGGTGGCACTGGAGCGGGAGCACAGCGAGCTGCGGGATGCCATCACCCGGCTGCTGGGCCACCCCGGCAGGATGGGACGGCGGCCACCAGCACAGAGCAGGGACGAGGGTGGGGATGAGGGACAGGCCACCAGTGTGTGACTTTGGATGTCACCGCGGCACGGCTGTGTTCCCCAGGTCCTGATCTCAATGGATTTCCGTCCCTCAGCAATAAATATTGTTGGTGTCACTGTGACTTGGTGCTGGTTGGGTTCTGTCACCACTCTGGGCTCTGTCCCCAGTGCCATTCTGTTTCTAGTGTCACCTTGTCCCCAACCCCTGTGGGGCAGAGTCACAGGGGACCCTATGATGAGTGACACCCTATGGTGAGTGATGACACCATGGGGAACTTTTGGGGGTGTTGGAACCATGGCAACTCATCTAGGGGTGACGAGACCATGGGGAAGCCTTTGGGACAGGGCCATGGGGACCATGTAGGAATGCCGAGTCCATGGGAACCTTTTGGGGGTGACAGAACCCTAGGGACTCCAGTGAGTGAGAGGACTGTGAAGACCCTCTGGTGGGTGATGGGACCATGGGAACCTTTTGGTGGAAGATAGGACCATGAGGAACCTTTGGGGGTGCCAAGTCCATGGGGGTGTTTTGGGGGTGACAGGATCATAGGGACCCTCTAAAAGTGACAGAACTGTGGGGACTCGGGTGGGTGATGGGATCACGGAGACATTTTGGTGGATGCACAGGACCACAAGGACCTTTTGGGGCAGAGCCATGCAGACCCTCTGGTGGGTGATGGGACCATGGGGACCTTTAGGGATAGGACCATGGGGACTTTTAGGGAAAGGGCCATGGGGACCTTTAGGCACAGGACCATGGGGACCTTTAGGAATAGGACCATGGGGACCTTTAGGGACAGGATCATGGGGACCTTAGGGGACCATGAGCACGCTTTGGGGCTGACAGGATGGCGGGGACCCTTTGAGGGGCACCAAGCACTTGAGGACCCTTTGGGACAGGACCATTTTGAGAGGTGACATCTGCTTTGGAGATGAGGGAACCACGGAAACCCCTCCACGATGGGGCCATGGGAATCCCTCGGGGCACGTCCATGGGGAACCATAGGGAAAGGCCATGGGGGAACGTCTGGGGGCGAGAGGGCCATGGGGGATCCTTCGTGGGGGTGACGGGACCGCGGGCATCCCTCGCTCAGCCCGTTCCCCTGCGCCCCCCAAGATGGCGGCGCCGCAGCCCCGTCGCGGTCCGATGACGCAATCACCCCGCGACGCACAGCCCTTCCCCCCCTCCCCGTGGAAGGTCGTCACCCCCAATATGGCAGCGCCATCAGCTCCGTGACGCCATCACCTCGCGCCGCTCCCGGCGCCGTCTAACAGTGACGTCATCACAGAGAGCCGCGCGGCCCGGAAAAAAAATGGCTCGGTACGGCGCCGTGACGTCATCTCCGCGCGCCGCTCGGCCCAGGGAGGGCGGAGGGGGGGCGGCGGCGGCGGCGCGCGGGGATCCCTCCGGCGGGGGGGGGGGGGGGGGGGGGGGGGCGGCGGCCGGGGGGGGGGGGGGGGGGGGGGGGGGGGGCCCCGGGGGGGGGGGGGGGGGGGGGGCGGGGCGGGGCGGCCTGAAGGCGGCCCCAAGATGGCGGCGGCGGGAGCGGAGGCGGCGCTGGGGCCCCGTTCGCCGCCCCCAAGATGTCGGCGTCGGGCGGGCGGCGCGCGGCGTGACGTCGTCGGGCCCCACCGGCTGGGGGGGGGCGGGGGAGCGGCCCGAGCGGCGCAGGCGGCGGCGGCGGCGGCGGCGGAGGAGGAGGAGGAGGAGGAAGAGGCGGAGAGGGGGGGCCCGGGCCCGGCCGAGGCCCCGGGGGGGGATTTAAAGGGACCATGTCCCCTCCGAGGGGAGAACGGCGGCGGCGGCGGAGCGGCGAGAGAGGCGGGCGGCCCCGGGGGTGGCGGCTGCGGCGCTGAGGG